ACGTGAGTGAAGAAGTTGAATTGGCAAACGGGCAAACTGAAGTGATAGAAACACTACCACGGAGTGTAGAATTATCCATAGGTAGATACAAGGAGTGCATTGAATGGAGAGTAATTCGTTTAACTCGATATGATATCATCATTGGAATGCCATGGATGTAGCAATATAATCCGAAGGTAGATTGGAGAAGAAAAGTGATTACAAGTAGTGGATGGAAGATCTATGGAGATAGAATTAGATCTCAAAATATGAATTTACCCCTCTTTGTGATGAGTACAACATCCATTTCTAGAGATGATGTATGTTTACTTGGACTTATAAGAGATTTTGGGTCCACGGACAAACCTTACATCCCGGACTCCTTGAACGACATTTTTATGGAGTATAAAGATGTTTTTCCAGATGATCTACTTGCAGGATTACCACCAAAGAGGTGAGTAGATCACAAGATTGAGGTGACACCTGGAAGTACACCAACTTGCAAAGCTCCATATCGTTTGGCTCCAAACGAATTGGAAGAATGCAAAGCTCAAGTGGAGGAGATGTTGAGCAAGGGATTCATCCAACCAAATGTTTCACCTTATAAAGCTCCAGTGCTCTTTGTGAAGAAGAAGGATGGATCCATGAGACTATCTATCAATTATCGCGGGTTGAATCAGCAAATGGTGAAAAACAAATATCCATTACCTCGTATGGATGATTTGTTTGATGAACTTCAAGGAGCAAAGTACTTCACCAAGCTAGATTTGAGAAGCGGCTACAATCAAATTCGAATTGCAGATGAAGATGTCAACAAGACAGCTTTTCGTACTAGGTATGGACACTTTGAGTATCTAGTGATGCCTTTTGGTCTCACTAATGCACCGGCTACATTCATGAGATTGATGGACGATATCTTTTGCCCTTATCTACATAAATTTGTCATTGTTTTTCTAGATGATATATTGGTGTATAGCAAAACTTTGAGTGATCATAGAAGTCATTTACGAGAGGTACTTCAAGTTTTAAGAGACAATCAATTGTATGCCAAAGCTTCAAAATGTGAATTTGGCAAATCAGAAGTAGATTACTTGGTCATAGAGTTATAACTACAGGAATCCAAGTGATGAGTGAGAAGATAGATGCCATTCAGATGTGGATCAAACTCAAGTGAAGAGTTTTCTAGGGCTCACTGAATTCTATCGTAGATTTGTGAAAGGTTTTGTTCGCCTAGCTTAGGCCTTGACTTCCATGTTAGGGAAATGTCAAAAATGGAGATCGAGAACAACTCAAAAGTTAGCTTTTCAAGCATTGAAAGATGCTTTGTTACACGCACCTATTCTCAAGTGGTATGATCCTAACCGTTCTATCAAGTTGGCCATTGACGCATCAGGTACAACAGTAGATGGCATACTTCAACAAGAATGGGAGGATGGATGGCATCCAGTTGCTTTCTATTCTTGAAAGTTGGTGGCGGCGGAACAAAATTATCACACGACAGAACAGGAGTAGTTAGCCATCGTGTTGGCAACCAAACATTGGAAGCATTACTTGGGTGATAAAGAGTTTGTGGTGGAGACCAATCATAAACCCTTGGTTTATTTGGAAACTCAGAAGTATCTGTCCAAATGACAAATACGATGGGCAGAGTGTCGTCAACGCTTCAACATGAAGATTGTGTACGTGGAGGGAAAGAAGCAACTTGCAGATGCTCTCACACGCATGCCTTGTTTGAATCATGTTGCAGAAGTGAAAATTCAGGCTGATTGGTGGAGCAAGATGTCACAAGCCACAAAGGAGGATGAAGAGATCACTCGGGCACTACAAACTGGAAAGGCAAAGAAATCTAGAGGTTTGGCGTTTTACAATCAACATATATGGATTCCACAAGATCACGATTTGCGCACAATGATTTTGGCATAAAGTCATGATACAGCCATTGCACGTTATGTGGGAGTGGAGAAAACCGTGGAGAGTATAAAACGAGTGTACTATTGACCCAAAATATGTGAGGATGTGGAGTCTTATGTTCGAAGTTGTGTTGCTTGTCAACAAAACAAGGCAAGTAATCAAAAACCCGCGGGTTTATTACAGCCTCTTCCTATTTCCGAACAACGGTGGGAACATGTCACCATGGATCTTGTATGTGAGTTACCAAAGACTTCGTTAAGACATGATTCAGTGGTGGTTTTTGTGGACAAATTGAGCAAGATGATTCACATCAGGCCAACCACAAAAACAGTAACAGCTCCACAACTAGCTCAATTGTATCTAGATGCAGTTTTTGTGAATCATGGCTTAAGCAAAGTGTTAATCACGGATAGAGGTACTCACTTCACTAGTTTATTTTGGAAAACTTTGTTTAGTTTTTTCAAAACAAAACTAGCACTGTCAACGGCCTATCACCCTCGAACTGATGGACAAACTGAGAGGGCAAATAGAACCATAGTGTTTATGCTATGAGCATTCACATTAGAAGAGAAAGAATAGTGGGACAACCTTTTGCTACTTGTGGAATTTGCATATAAAAATTTTGTTAATGCATCCACAAAAGTGTATCCATTTTTTCTTATGTATGGACCTCATCCTATAATTATTTCAAGTTTGATGAAACTTTCCAAAGGAGAGGAGTTTTCGACCAAAGTTGCAGCAGTCAACGAATTTGTGAAGCATATTCACCGAGAACTACATCAGGCCAAGGAAAAGTTGGTGATAGCTCAAAATCGGCAAAAACAGCATGCCGATGCTCATCGTAGAGAAGTGGTTTTTGAGGTTGGAGATCATGTTTGGTTATCTACAACGAATTTGTCTCTTGTAGGTACATCAAAGTTGAACCCTAGGTTCATTGGTCCATTTTTGGTTTTGAAGCGTGTTGGTGAAGTGTCAAACAAGTTGAAACTTCCGTCACATATGAAAATACATCTTGGATTTCATGTGTCACGATTGCGAAAACATGTACCACGACCAAAATAATTCACCAACCAACCAGCACCACCTCCTCTTCCGACCTTGATAGCAGATCATGAGGAGTTTGAGGTAGAAAAGATACTTAAGAAACGTATTCGAGGTCATAAATATCCCAAAGTAGAGTATTTGATTCAATGGAAAGGCTATACATCATATGAATCAACTTGAGAACCAGCTAAAAATTTAGCAAATGCACCTTTGATAGTTAAGGAGTTTGAACGTATGTGCAACGAGTACGTTGCATCTTAAAAGAAGGGAGGTTTGTAATCATCTTTAGTTAGTTAGAACTAGAGTAGAGGTTACTCTAAATATTGATGTAGATACTTTAGTGTGCACTAGTCATAGCTGTCACGTCAGCGATCCGTGTGCACAACCACACGGATCGCTGACATGGGTTTAGGGGTTGTCCGCCAACCCCTAAACCCACGTCATCCATCCACTAGGAGTGGGATGGATGGTGGGGATTAGATCTTATCTCCTTGTACTTGTTGGTGAGAGCTATATAAGGGAGAGGAGAACCATTGTTGGTATTTCTCATCTTCAGAGTTTAGGTTTCTATCTTCGAGTGAGCTTCTCTCTAAACTCTAGTGTTAAAGGCGCGCATCTTCACTCGTTTGAGGCCTTGGAACTTTTGTGTTTATCAAGCTCGACGAGATTACTACCGAGAACAGCGCGCATCTTCACGTTCTCTGACTCGCTGGTTTCAGCGGCTTTGCAACTTATGTCGATCACTTTCAAGCAAAACAGTGCCAATGAGCAAGCTTCTGCCAATGATAAGCTTCAACCGGTTATGCCGCACGAGCTTGTTAAGTACAGGTAATATCAGTTTTGTGCCACCCTTCGCAAGCACACCCTACGATTGCAGGTAGCCAAGTTTACACCGAAGTAGATCAAAGACATCTAAGAAGAACACGGAGAGTTTATTTGATGCTACCATGCGGAGGAAAACTGGAAATTAGCAATCGATGTCTGCGATCACAAGACTTCATTAGGGACGGTTGGGATATCCTTGGATCGCGATTCCGGGCTCTGTTTGAGTTTGCAGGAGGCTTGCCTAAGATCTTTCCCGTCACTTCAACACTGGAGGCAAATTTCTCCAGGTTGAGGCGTGAGAAGGATGTTATCAGGTAGAGACTTTTTGATTTCGGGTTTGAGTGTGTCTTCCATGTCTAGTAGCACAGGACTGCTCAATATCATAAAGAAGAAATGATGGTGTTGCTCTTTATATGGAGTTTGTATAGTGCCACTTTGATGCCAGTAATAAAGATCTGGACATGCCTATATACACCCATAAGAGAATATGGGTACTAGTGGCAAATGCAACTATTACTCATGCCTGAAAATAACCGATCAAATCCGTCTTATTCTCTCATGGATAGCAAGCCTCCGTGCGAATCCGCTGCCCGGAACTTCGAATGCAAAATCTCAGTGATAAATATGCTCTTTGCCGATCATGCACACTCCCAGACAAAGGCATTCATGTCGTGGAGAATGAAAGTATAATTATTATAATTGTTGATGTTAGGAGCAGCGCCAAAGTCTGCACCACAAATAATAGCAGGAAGAAGAATGACGTGGCAGTAGATAGTAGCCATTATGTATCGTGTCAAGTAATACACACAAAGTCTACAATTACGGGGGTGGCTGGGGGTTGGGGTGGAGGGGGCATTGCAGCCGATTGGGGTGCCTATGTCGCCATACAACTCAAGCGAAGGACGGAACAGGGAACACCTCCCGTGCAAGCAACAGCGCGCCAGCGAAAGAGCGAGAGAAAGACGAAAGCGGAGGTCGCGTCGCGTTCGCTGTTGGATTGGCTTTGGCTTTGGCGCTGGGTTTGGGGGCCTCCTTGGCTTTGGTTTTGGTTTTGGCTTTGGCTTTTCTTGGGTGAGTGATGTAGCGATGATCGAGAAGGAAAGCGAAGGGAGGAGACGACGACGACGGAGGGCGGGCGGGCGGGCGGGCGGACGGGCGGGCCGGGCCGGGCATGGGCCAACAGCAAGCAAGAGAAGGAGGAGAGAAGGAGGAGGGGGAGGAGGAGCAGCAGCAGGAGGGGGACGAGTCGCACTTGTGGACGAAACCTGATGAAGGAAGGCAGGGAGGGAGGAAGGGAGGGGGAGGGGGAAGAAGGAAGGGAGAGAGAGAGAGAGAGAGAGGAGGGGCAGGGCTGATGAGAGATGAATGAATGAATGAATGAAGGAAGGAAGGAGCAAATGAATGAATGAATGGCCATTCGGTGAATCCGCCTGCCTCTGCTGCCTGCTGCTGCGACTGCAAGCCCGACCGTCGAGATCTCTTCTACCGCCACTGCTACTACTGCTACCTCCTCCACCAGCACCACCACCACCACCACCCGGAGCAGCAGTAGTGCTGCTGCTGCTGCTGCTTGTTGCTGCTCGCTGCTAGCGCTGTCACTCGCCACTCTCACTCCTCTTATTCTCGCCCCCTCTTTTGTACGTGCTCCGTGGCTTGTCTACTGGCTTGTTTGCGCTCGTTTGCGCTCGTTTATTCTTCTCTTCTTCTTCTGCCCTTTCCTTTCATTTCGTCTGTCATCTATCTATCTTCATCGTCTTCTTCGTCGTCGTCGTCTGTGCTGCTGCTGCTGCTGCTGGTTGGAGTCGCAGGCCGACGTTCTTGCCTTGCCGTTCGCTGGCTGGGCCGACGGTCGGACGGACGGACCTCGCTTTGGACCATAAAGTGGAGGCTGCCTTTTGGGCCTCGGGATTTCCTCAGGTGTTCGAGTGATTGAGGTCGGGGACGAGGACGACGACGGCGCCAGATTGAGGCCGCAGAGGGCCGGGGTTCATCGGTCGTCGATAGATTGGTAGATAGATAGATAGATAGATATATCGATAGACAGACGGATTGATTGATTCATTGATTGATCGCTCTTCATCAAAGGGGTGCACGCAGGGAGGACGGGAAGTGGAGAGACGGGGGAGGAGCGAGAGAAGGAGGAGGAGGAGAGTGGAGAAGAGATTCGATTGATCAGCATCGGGGTTTGGCGAGGACGAGATTAGATAAGGGTCAGGGGGAAACGGGGAGGAGAGGAGAAGGAGGGAGGAGGAGGAGGAGGCCGAGGAGGAGCGAAGACGCAAGAGGCATCGGGGGAGGTAAGGGAATGATCGAAGGACCGGAGGAGGTAGATTAGGTCAGAGATGTGTCTACGAAGGGACAAGCAGGAGGAGGGCTATACGGGCGTGGTGCGCAGGAGGAATAGGGATTCGGCCCTTTACCCTTACGCTGTCGAGAGCTAGCTCAAACCACTAATCCGTCTGTTTGTGCTGTGGAGTCGGTAATTGTCTTATGCTTTTGGAGGTGGTGGGTTTGAAGGAATCGCCGATTCTTGCTCTCAAGTTCCGCGTTTGACATCCGATTCATGTTTGGCTAGGGCAATTGGTACTTGAAATCTGCTTCAATTTGCTCTCGTCCGACTTTCCCAATCCCTCAGGACAGGATTTGGGGTTGCTTAGCCGGAGCGAACGACCGAGTGCGAGATTTTTTTCATCTGGGTCCGGGCTTGGGATAGGAGGCAAAATCGTCCCGTGCCGCCGGGTTGTCTCGCAATTCGGAGTGGCCCTATTATCGTCGGAGGTGAGGGCCGGGTATAGGGAGATAGATAGATGTCGTCAGCTGCAGGTACAGAATACTGGTGCTATCGATGCAATCGCAATGTGAGGCCCGCCGCAGCAACTGAGGTGATTTGCCCCCATTGCAACGATGGGTTTTTGGAAGAATCCTCGGGCAACGGCAGCGGGAATCCTCAAATCCCAGAGCCCACGTTCCCGCAGTCCGATGTGTTTGGTGCAGATGTGGAGTCGGGCGGAAACAGCCGGGGAGGCGGCACGCCCTTGACGGAGACCGGAACTCCAGCTGGATTCCGCCGCTGGAATCAGCAGGGAGGGCCGGGCCAGCGAGGCCGAAACTTCCCCGGAGGCAATCCGGCAATTTTGCAGGTTCTGGAAGCGATGTCAGCCGTGTTGCAGCAAATGCAGCCACCGAATGCACATGGGGGGTTCCCGGGTGGAAATGAAGGTGGCGATGCGGACAGTGGTGGTGGCGAAGGACGAAACCGGATGCCCACAATGGAGAATGCCCCTTTCAATGTCAATCCCATGCTGGTCTTCCAAGGCCAAATGCAAAACTTCCTGGGAGGCGGTGGCAACGTGGAAGTTTTTTTTGATAACGGGAATGGTCCCCCGAGACGCTTGCCTGGAAACTTTGGAGATTATTTTTTAGGTCCCGGGCTGGATCAGCTCATACAGCAGTTGGCAGAAAACGATCCCAACAGGTATGGAGCCCCTCCTGCAGCCAAAACTGCCGTAGAAGCGATGCCAACCATCCAAATCACATCAGAACATTTGGGAACCGATGCAGCACAGTGTGCCGTTTGCAAAGATGAGTTTGAATTAGGATCCCAGGTGCGGCAGATGCCTTGCAAGCACATGTATCATTCCGATTGCATTTTGCCTTGGCTTGCCCAACACAACTCTTGTCCAGTTTGCCGTTTCGAGATGCCCACAGATGATGCAGAATACAACCAAACCCGAGCCTCGCAACCTTCTGCTCCTGCATCCACCACCACCACCGCACCGACGCACGGCACCACCACCCCAGCAGCTGGAGGTGAAGGCGGGGCCACGGGTGCGAATTTCACCATCTGGGAAACTCCCGGTGGTGCCTACCCCATGAGTAGATATCAAACGGACTCTGGACTCGAACCGCCGAGCGATGCCGGATCCAGCGCAGCCCCGAGCAGCGCTTCGACGACTGCTGCGGGAGCCACTCCTCCCGCCAGCGCAGCCACCGCCACCGCTGCCGCCACGACCGGAGGTGGCACGGGAAGACGAATCTCATTCCACCTGCCTTGGTTTTTCAGCCGGACAGCTGCTGCTCCCAATCCGGCTCCTCCCACGGGCCCTCAGGCCGAAACGTCGAGTCAAGGGGGCGGCAACAGAGGCGGCACAGCCAACAACAGATCGCAGGCTGGTGGTGGTGGGAACGGGCAGTCGTCAGCTCGGACTGACGAGGACGGTGACATTTGCATGTCCGAGGCGAGACACGAGGCACGACAGGAAGATCTGGACTGACAGATTGTGCTGCTTCCGTGTAGCTGGTTGTCATCACTGAACCAAAGGCACTGCTGCGGTGCTTCCTGAGAGAGGACGACGAGCAAGTTTGCACTTAATTGAAGTGAGTTGTAGCATTTGTATTATGCGCCGCATCTGAACGGTTGACTGGTTGAAGGTGCTCAAGTAAATAGGTATATCTGGCATACTTCTGTGCAGAGGACATACTTGTTCATCCTTTGCTATCTGGATGACATTCTGGGTATTGGTGAGGCCACCCGATGACGCTACTCCTTCCCTATTGTGGTGTCTAACGGTTGCCATGTTGATTTAGTAGTTTCTGCAAAGCATAGTTGCCAACATAGGAGACTCATGCCAATGTGGAAATGGATGATCAGAAGTTTGAAGCTTCAAGCTTCATGTAGTTGATTAAATTTTTTTCCTTTTATTAGGACCTGGAGATTTTCATAGGGTTAAGAACCTAGAGAAGGGGTTGCTGGGCATGGATGAGGGCAAGGGTTTCGATAAGTTCAGGGTAAAACAGGAGAAGAGGAGTAAGTGTCCACAAAGATGATTGATTAACTGTGTTAATATGCGATGAATAAGTTTTGGCAACACACAGACGAATTCGCAGGTCATGGAGTTTGTTTTAAGGAAGGGTTCCCATCCTATTCACTGTCTTCTCTGTCACGTACTCCAAGATTCATATTCATTTGTCTTATTTGTCCGGTGCCTCGTCGGACGACTGTAAAGTATCTACTAGCCTTGTGCTGGCGACCTTCTTGTTTTGGCTGCTGGCAAAATTCTCTTTCGATCATGTGCATATTGAATTGTATGGGCTTCATTAGCTCACGAGTACGAGCGTTGTGTTGTGATCAAACTATCTTTTCATCTTTGGTTCCCAAGGCTAGGTGGGGCTGGTGCGTATGGCATGTGCCCACCTTTTTCTCGGGGGTCAGTCTTCTCAAGACATCAATGAAAGTGGGACTTCTTACGGGGCTTCTCCTAGTTGTCGTAGATCATTCACTGGTATCCATTTGGAGATGGTCAAACCAGAGAGACGCGTAGAGTATCTGCTCGTAGTGTTATATCCCATTCTCACATTAGTCTCATTGCTGGTGCTTTCTTCAGATTAAGTAGCCTGTCATCTTGTCATCTATGGAGCTCAACTTTAGTAATGCCAGTAATGCCCTGTGTGGCATCTGTAGCTCTCCTCGTCTCTGATTTCAAGTCGGTTCACAGTCCACCGAGATGGAGAACGAGGACGACGGTGCTCCTTCTTGGAAAGTCGTTGAGGTCGATATATAGAGATTCTAACCGTGCTTTCATAGCAGGCAGAACGCGAGGGCAGCAAAAGTTTAGCCGGCTCACTTAACCTCATTTGTGCGGGCCAATTTTGCTCTTCAATGCCCACTGAACTGTCAGTCCCGGTGCCGAACTATAAGCTGGAGGTCCATGACCTTTACAGCCATACTGTCAGTTTTCTCGCCGAGGATACCTCAAGTGCTTTTCTCAATTGTTGTACCAAATTGTGGCGAAGTAGTGCATCGATACATCCCACGGAGCTGGAACTCAACGAATACCGATACTTGGAACAGTGATGCAGAAATTGTGAACCGAAGGCTTGGTTTTCACAGAAATCTCACGAAGAAATGAGTATGGAACCTTTCCATGACCGCAGGCTCGCTTGTAGATCACGTCTCACTCGCAAACACTTGGAGCAAGGACTTTAGAAGCTTAAAGCGTGGCACAATTACGGACGCGAATGGATCTTGATCGGACAATCCGAAAGAGGAACAGACTTTTTGCCGGAGAGTCAGCAACGCAGGATGAGAAAGTCCGACCCAGTCGATCGAGGTGGAGCTCGGAGCAGACATGCAAAATGCAGCCACACGTAGCTTCAAGGAAGGCAAGGAAGGCAGCGACTTAGTGCAGTGGAGTGGGGGCGACGAGGCGTAGGGCGGAAGTGGGGACGAGGTAGAGAGGGATGAGAAAGTCAAGAAAGAAGCGTGATCGAGATTCCCAAGGAGAAGATAAGAAAGTGTCAAGCTCAGAAGACGAAAACGTCGCCTGCTCGGCAGCAGCAGCAGAGAGGGGAAACTTGAGAGGTCGTTAAGCTCAGAACACATGCCAATGCGCACAGCATCGGAGAGCGTGGCTGACGAGTACGTGCTGCGAAGATCAGAGACATCCGAGAGCTAGGCGATGAGACAGACAGACGCAGACGCAGGGTAATCAAACCGGGGGGCCCCACCCACCTGGTGAATCTACCACTGCTCTTGTGTCTGCTTCGTCTTCCTCGACCCGTGCCTGCTCAGCCTTGCTCGATTTAGATGGCACCCATGAGATTCGCCAGCCAGCGATGGCCGCGTGTTCCTCTTAAGCAGTTTGCGCAAGATTCGTGCTCAATCCACCTGTTCGCTCACATCGAGTCATCGACTCGTATTTCCCGATCGGCACACACGCCTGCTTGTCACAACCTGCGCTCCTCCTGCCTTTCAGCTCTCAGTCGCTCTCGAGTCCACACTTGCCATCTCGTCGTGATCACACAGTGTACTGCAGAGCACTGCAGATGCGCAAATCGTGGAACTGGATCACTCTGTTCTGCCTGCAGCCTCCTATCCTACGCTCCCGTCCATAACTCTGGCAGGCAGGCAGGCAGGCAGACAAGCAGGCAGGCTCGCTCGCTCGTCCATCGTTCCTCCCCAGCACCGGTGTCGATTCCGAGCCCATGGCAACTCCCTTCCTTCCTTCTGTCTCCACATCGCAACCTGCATCAGCCATCATCAGGAAGACGACTCCTCGACACCGAACAGTGGCAGGAGCATGTGCATTTCTCAGCGTGAGCTGATCGATGATGACCGTGCTGCAGCAATGGACAAGCAGATGAGGCCAAATTGGAGACGAGTTCGAGAGATGTCGTGATGTATAACGCTTGGGTGGGTTATGGTTATGGCAAGCCCATGATGCTTGTCCAGCTGCGCAACGAACAAGAGTGGGAGGAGGAAGTTATGAGCGACCGAGCACCTGCTCTACAGATGCATCCATGTATGCAGGTAGGGGGAGGAGGAGGGAGGAGGGAGGAGGGGTGAAGCTTTGGAGTGCAGCTGTACCCATCCGTCCCTAGACCCTGGACCATCTAGTCCCCGTAGGCTTCCATGTTAACACTGTTTTCGGTTAAAAAGGTCGAGGATTCATGTCAACAAATATGTCTTGACGTCCTGATCTCCAGCAACAGAAAGTCGTCATGATAATATTTGGGCCACCCTTCGCACTCACCTGGAGAATCCTGCCTTGTCCCCATCGCGTCCAACTTCCCCACCCGCTTGGCCTTTCCAACAACTCGAGTCTGTATGGCCCTCTAAAGCAGTGAATAAGATACAACATCCTATTTTCTTTATATTTTATTTTTTTTCTCGTAAGGTGCGCTTATACGGATTTAGGAAATCGGCGGCTTATGCCGTGCTTCGTGAATTTTTCCCTGTTTTCTTATTCTGCACATGTATGGCTAAATTTGACTATGAATGGCTCGCTGCCCCATTGATCGGTTTCGGAAATTATGATCTGTTCTGGGGGGAGTTTTACGAGAAATAGACATGAAAGTACACCCTTTTATGAATATAGTGACCTGCTCTTGATCTTCCTCCCTTCCCATCTTTTTACATAATTATTTAAGGGTACGGCTTCTTTACAAGCACAACATCCCTTCCCAATGCCGACTCTCTATGGTCTCCTATTCAGGGACTCATCAACGAGTCGCACCTAGTGCACCCAACGAACCTGATGGATCCAACGAGTTGAAATCAAGCCACGTGAATTTCCAATCGAAATGAAATAATTGCCTAATCTTGATCAAGATTAGGCAATGCAGATCGTGATCGTTGACTCCTATCCTGAAATTCATTTATCCACTTCATCTTATTATCAAGTCTTCTGTTCATCTTTTGTGTGCATTTTGCACATTCACCTTCATGGCTCAGCTGAATATGCGCACTCCTCGTTTCAATAAAGATAATATGATATGATAAGTTACAAGTTTTTGGTGAAGCATTAAAACTCAATAATGGCTCACCATCATGTTATTCTGATGTGTTGATTACTTTTAACCTGGAGGCTCTTGGATGTAAAGTATTATGACTGAATTTTTTATCACGATGAATAGCAAGTCTACTTTAAATTCTCATAAACCCATGACTTTCACATCTGTGATTCTCAGATCTAGAGCATACTCGAAAGGAAATATTCGGAATCGCACATCTTGAGTAACCAAGTTCCAAATTTATTTGGAATTTGTCCTACAGGATGATGAGGCGCAGGAAAGTCTTCATCAATGATCAAAATTGCAGATCTAGCTGGTCCACCGACAAGTCTTATTTTGGAAGGTATTGATTTGAGAATATAGTCATATTCGTTAAGGATATATATCACATTTGACGGTTAATCTTTATTTACATTTTTCTAGATGAAGATTTATTAATCACAGGTAAGAATGTTTCAAGAAAGATATAGTCATATTCGTTAAGGAAAGGAACTAGCTTCCTTAAAATGTATAGATAATCTGACATGCATTTTTATTATTTTGTGACTTATAAAAAAAGCAGCATTTTATGTAAAAGTTAACAAAGTTGATTTTACACAGGAGTGGATAAAACCAATAAATCTTTGTGAAATCAATAGGGTTGATGGTTTAATGCAATAAAACATGTGGAAGTCTCTAAAATGATTTCATCAAGTGAAAATGACACCTGAAAATTTCTAATAGAGACTTGCACTTGTCGCAGAACCCACGTCATTAAAATCAAATAAAACGCTATTTATGTGGCCTCAGTAACATCAGGTTAAACACTAAAATCCAATAAAACCCCACCTGGTATAACCGCGCCGTGCCACCTTGATTTTACATGATAAGAAATTACGTTATAAATGTGCAAAGACCTCACGTTTGAAAATTACTTTATATTCTATACAAAAAACATGTTTATTATATATATATATATATTGAAAATTGCAGTGATATATGACATGGATGGTTTTTACACATGAATAAAAATTTGTTAATTAGCAGCATAATATTCTTACGTATTCATATATTTGAGATACTCATAGACACTCAGTAGTAACTATGTGATAAACATATATCATTTCAATTTATATTCATAAGATGTTGAACAAGTTAACTAATTTCATAATTTTTCTTAAAATTTACACTTGTCAATATCAAAAGATTAATCCATCAAATGTTCATTCAATTTAGGTCCATTGACATTATTCATGTCATGTTGAATATTTAGAAATTAAAAACTTTTTCTGTATTGTATACAATACAAATGATAGTAATATATTACATGATTCATGAGATTTATTTATATCAATACATAAAAATAAGTTTTGTAGCTGCAACTAATTTTGCAACTATACACAATTCAAGCATGGATTTTCTTACACATGCCAAAATCGTTTAGAGTTTGCAATATAGAATTATATTATCATAGTTCATTATTTATAGATTTGACTTTTAACTACACATGACATGGGTATAATATTTATGGTAATACAGTCTTATTCATGTAAGTCAAGCACAAAAAATTTAAAACTTTGTAAGAAAAATCAATGAATTTGATATATATATATATATATATATAATTTTAAATTTTAAATTATATTTTTAATAAAATAGAGAAAAAATTATTGATAATTATTGATTGAATTTGTGTTTAACATGTCTCCCAACTACAACTCGTAACAACTCATTAAACGATTAATGATGGTCTTGTTTTCATAAAAGGGTCATGATCACAACCCATCTCCAAAGTGTGCCGACGATGTCGATGTGCTGTATAGGGGTGACGATAGCGAAACTTGAGTTAAAGCTTTCGATTCGAACATCACAAGCAAGCTACACAGTAGTTTACTACAACGTCTCGTTGAATTTAGTTTAGGCATGAACGCTGTGCTTTGTTTAGGACTTAAAATATTGTGAGAAAAATTGCGAGTATGAGAATTATTTGCAGGCATTGATTAATACAATTTACACATCTTTTCGGAAGTAGATAACAGCATGAGAACAGAGGTCTAGGTCAGAATAAGAACAGAACTAGATGCAGTCGTTTCAGGAGAGCAGAAGCAGACGTTCCTTGATGAATGTTGCGTTACATGTAACGGGCAGAGGATGAGTCGGAGACTTTCTAGAGTAATCTCGTCTACAATTCACCTCAAACTAATGTACAATCTCAATACTGTCACATCTGTTCGATGTTGACAAGAGCGTCGCACTAAAGATTGACGACATCCGGAGTTTACCGAATAATCTTCTGAACGGGTTCTATGAGGTGGCCTGATTGGTCCATGGGTATGGCACTCAGCTGTAAATGCTAATTGCTGTTGATTGCAAAGCATGGATATTTCAAGTTGCCACAACTACATTAACCCAAAAGCTGATATCTCAAAACGATATGATTCGTAATGTCCTATATCGAATTCTTTCTTCATCATCGAAGTTTCCTAATCGGAATGGCTTTGCCGAAGAGCTTTTCAATATCCGAAGCCCCCATTTGCAGCTCATCAAGCAAGGCCTTCTCCTCCTTTCCTAAACCAGCCAGAAGCTTCTCCTCTTCCCTTTTGAGCTCCTGTGCACCTTTACCCAGCAGCATAAGCTCTTGCTTCCCGGCATTCTCTACTGTCTGTTCAAGTACTTGCACCTCTCTCAATATAGCTTCTTCACCCTTCTCAATCGTCTTCTCCAATCTTGCAAAAAGTGGAGGCTCTGGTCCGCAGGTGTTATCCGTGGTGGTAAATTTGTTGAAATCCAGGCCTACTGACTTGGCAGCTGCGGTCAATCTGGGAATGATACTATTAGGAAGAGTCCTGCTGCGGGTGTAAATCACCGAACCTCCATAGCCATCCCATGCATCATTCTTACCTCGGTAGTACACAAACACGAAGTCATCTGGCTTGTTCTCTATCTGGGAATCTAGAATGTACCTGCAAAGTTCATCCACAACAAGGATTTGACTGTCAACATTTTTCTCCCTACTGAGGTGTTACCTTTTAAGCAGCAATCAGTGTTGCACTTCGTTCTGATTCTTTTTAGAAAAGTTGTTCTTTACACTGTTCATGACCTCAGTGTACTGTTGGACGTGCGAACAATATTGTACTCGATATACAGAAATCCAGTCAACGATGTGTGCCAAAGATAGGCACATCATGTTGTCGACTCAAAGGATTCAATAGGCTGGTGTTGAATTCAAAACCTTTCGAAACAAAGTGCTCGGAATCGAACTTGAGAGTATGTAGAATAAATTACCAGTCATCTTGATAGTGCAGAAACTCGTTGCCGTGGTTCAAGAGGATTCCAGGTTGTGACTCATCTTGTACAAAATTTTGGACTGCAGATCGCGTGAAAAAGCCTCCATCCGGAGTCGAGATCCTCCACGTAAGTTTTCCGGTGACTGTGTTTCGTGTTGCAGAGAACTCGTGGAGCTGACAATCAAATGTGTCAAATGTCCTATTCAGACCACTGCTTATGAACCACTTGCCCTTAAAGTCCTTTGTCTTGAAATCTTGAACTAACGCTGATGGGGGAGGAATGGGATATGTTCCTTCATCAGATTTTTGTGGCACACATCCTTTCCTCGAGACGGCACAATCATTGAACTGATCAACAACTTTGTTTTCAAACAAATCTCCACAAGCGATCTGCACAAGAGCATCCACTGCTTGTACGATTAGAACAAGTGTTGCAACTTGAAGAACTTTGCGACGTCTTACAAACATTGCATTTCATTTTCTATTGCCTTCCGGACCAGCTCTTGGAGAATTTCTTGTTTTTTCGCTTAGCTGAACAAGAAAATTGAGAAGAAAATTCAGGAATTCATAGGAGGACAAACTTTGGGATCTAAAACCTTATCCCCATACAAGCGATACTCAAAAATTCCTCATTCATTCTGATGCAGCAGACTGGACGGATCTCAGTTGACGAGTTCGAATTTCCGAATACTTATAGAACCACGTTGTTGCTCATGTATCAGGTCAACCGTTATTTCATCGTATCATTAGCTTCGCTTCTCATGCTTAGGACTGACTTCGTACCTGACATTCTGTTTCATCGGGGCGGTTGTTGCAAGTCTGTAAGCAGGCAACATTGGCTGCGCAACCAGGATCCGCGATACATCGCGCAAGCTCGATTCTGAAGAATAAAATTCTCGTAGTCAAAACATTTTCATTGGACGGCTGCAAATCACTCGCAGCGAAAACCACAAACATCCAGAATACCTAATGTTCGACACAGCGCAGCTGTGAGACTCATCACCGGCTGTTGGACAAGGATTGAGTACAAGCTACGAGCCATATCGTGATAATTACCGAGTACAATGAGCAGCAAAAGATTTTCTCCGACGACAGACTACACTTACCTGCATTCTTTAAGCAAGCAGGTGCAAGTCTTCAAGGCATCGACGGCTTGTGCAGAGGGAATCCCGAACACCAGCAAACCTACAGCCATTGCTCCAAGAACATGGACTGAAAAATTCTTCCGTGCGTCATTTCCGAATGCCAATATTCTCTGCTCGATATTCCAAGTTTCTAGCTGACCACCACCCGCTTCGGTTGGATCATCTACTTGTGCATTCGAGGCACGAATTCCTAGCTGTGACCTGTTCCTTCCCGCATTGCAAGAATTCCTTCTGCGTCTTTCGGTAGCACGTCTTAATACATTGTTGAATCCAGATCTACAATCATTCCCCAGCATCCTCGACAATGAACCGGAGCCGGAACTCGATGCAGGAGCTGAAGTGACTCCCTTCTCCACGTGTCTGTCTGCGATACTTGTCGCACATGGGGACGGGACGCAAGCGCAACAGGTCACGGTCGCCGAGACAGAGGGCTTCGGCTGCGAAAGAGAAGGCCACGGGTAAACTGCACGAAGTGTCAGAACTAGACAGAAGAAGAAGAAGATAAAACTCTCGTTGCTGGAAAGAGAAAAACATATTCGATGATTCCGTCAGAAACTTTGGAAAAACGGCATACATCGTAGAGAAATCCCACACTCCCCAAAGCTCCCACAGATCATAACCCTCAAACCACAATTCACATCACCCGAAAAAAAGCCTGAGAGACAATACAAAATTCGTGGCGAATTGGCAGCATAAGTACCAGAAGCCGCTCGACTGCACACAGAAAGCGACGCCATCGCCATCGCCCTCACCCTGCCCTCTCCCTCTCTCTGCCTGCCTCCGCCCGACGTTCCCCAACACTCACACCAACAGAACACAAACGCTAGATCGAAACTCAGCCTTCAGACCCGCCGACTGCAACCAAATTCATAACTCTTTCTTGCCACCAACTGCTGCAGAAGCTTCGAGCAATGCTGATCATGAGCTCCAAATGTCTCAAACCCCGCAATTTGTTCGCCTCAAATTTGAACTCGCGCAAGGAAGAGCCGAAGTTTCGAGCGAAAAGTCGAGAGCGCGAGGGAGCGCACGAGGAGAGTTCCACGAGAGCGAGCGAGAGAGAGAGAGAGGGAAGGGGAGAGAGAGAGAGAGAGGGAGAGTGGGGGAAGAGAGTCCTTTCCAGCGTGGCTCGATCGATAAGTTCCACGTGGATGGCGAAAGGACCTCATGGGGGTTTGGATAGATCCATGGGATGGGCATGCCCCTTCGCGGCGCAGCATGTCATGCATGCTGCAAAATCTCTATCCACATTTTGGCTGGCCACCCGCTGCCCGCACGTGGAGACCGTCCCCGTTTACGGACAGCGGCATTTGTCACCCATGTAGATAACAAGTGTCATTTCACCTCATTGCGCCATCATTTCGCCATCACTTGCCTTCGCATCCAATTCGCATGCTCCGATGCGTGCCTCGAAACCTGTCAGCTACGCCCTCCACCCTTTCCTCTTGAAGATTTGGCCCTGCTCGTTCAGGGACGCATGGAATGAAATGTCGATCGGCCCACAGGCATTATTATTACGTCCTGGAGAGAGTCGGGGAGGGTTTTTTGGCCTCCTCCCGCCCTAGAGCAGTAGCTGACTGCCGTACTAACGATCATTCATGGATGCATGATTCTGTCACAAGAGATGGTGGCTCTGTTCATTATTTGCCATTTGGCTGTTGGTTTCGTCAAGTGTATGCGATTGGGGAGCCCGTTTTCTTCCTTACGTGACCTTTTTTTCTTCTTTTAAGTTCAGCATTCATAAATATGAATGCTGACTTGGGAATGCTATTGGCTTCACAAATTTATGGAAGTTTGAATGTTCAAACCTCCATAAAGACGAGATCTGTATATGTATTCCTCTTGAAGACCAAATTTCACAAAGAACAAAAGTGATTTTGATAACAGCATTGAACTCTTTGAGCTCTCACTTGAAATAACATTATACATAAAGTAAGTTCTCAAATACTTATGCTTTAATGTCAATCTTTGAATTTTTTTTCTTGATCAGATTACGAGAACTTATATGTAAAAAGCAATGTTTGTTCAAATTAATAGTAACAGCTTTCATATTGACTTCAAGTTTCACAGTTTGCATATAACTTGATAATCCATTTTTTCCGCATAAGTTAATAATATGAGTGAAATTTTTTTAACAATATCTTCGGACATTAACAATAAGCCTACAAAAATCAATAGTATTGGACGATTCAAAGCATCATCTTTTGTAATTTACTTCAACCTTTGGACATCCGATTTCTTTGTAGATTGTTGGTGGCTACATCAAGAAGTTTTATATGATATGCATTTATATAACATGAATAACCAACCATTTTCCAATTGAGCTATTGTGCATAACAGCAATCAGCTTGATTTTTAAAAATAATTATAGGAGGAGAAAATCTTTGATATTAGGTTTTGATTCTTCTACGGAATTATCCATTTGTGACGTTTGGCATTCATGGTTGAAAACATGATCATTGTCAAGATCTACAGGTTGAGGTTAAACAAGAAAGTTGTGTAGGGAATCGTGCGGGAGGTTATGTGTGTCAGAGGATATATAATTTATTTGATCAATTGATGAAAGAAAACAATTCATTTGAAATCACATCCAGAAGAAGGATCCAACGAAAAATCTATCCGAGATGTTGCTATCAGCAGAGGATGAATCAAAAAGTTCGTTTGGTCCAATAACTAGCAAATCGAGGAGTAGCTTCCTTACCATGTACTAATATTGTTGTTCATATATTAGAAGACCTATGACAAGCTATCCTAAACTGGTCAAATGGGACCAAATCGAACATCCCTACGCTTGTCTTGGTTCTTTTCTTGATCTGAGTGAAGCCCCAACGAAGAACAATGGTACTGAGATTAAATAATAAAAGAAAAGAGTGCAGCAAAAGAGAAACAGTTAAATGAGTGTTTAGAACAGACTGCATTGCACAGAAGGTAAAGAGGCGGAAGAGTAAGAACAAGAAGAAGTTACAGTGCTGAGGAAGAAAAGCATAAAGGGTAAAAAGCAATAAAACAAAAAGGCAGTGGTTGATAGCAAAGAAGGAAGAACGATTGATAACTTAGTCCAAAAGTTAGTCCAAAGCTGGTTATATAGTGGAAGCCATCAGTATGTTTTAAGAGGCTTTGTAATTGCGGATAAAAAAGCGGATATCTGATTGTGTGCACGACATTTGTTGAATGATGAAATGCACCGTGAGCTTCACACAATTTTACTTCTCACATGGAGTAGATTGCTCTAAACACATTTTCAAGGAGTGACTTAAGGAGTGATGCACGAGAAAAATTGTGAAGATAATAGTCTCAAACGGCTAGAAATTACATGGACAGTTTCGGCATTGTTAAAAAAGTTTGTTGTAAAATCTGATGAGCGCAAGTAGCTTGAAATGAATAATCATAGTTTTCATTTTTGTTTTAGTTTTTTTAATGGATCAAACACGTCTGAATTTCGCTCTGAAAGCTGTTGTGGAGTTTGCTGTCGAGATTCCATTCATAGCCAAATGTGTCCGGCAAAATCCTATGAGCCATCCCAGATGAGCAGAGCAATGCGCAGGGGTTTTGAACAAGAGTCACGAGATTGTATTCACAGGTTACTCAAGACTGCATCTTGTTTCACATGTAGCGAAGGTCAGAGCGAGATTCAAACTCGCTGCAAGGAGACTCTCCAAAGAGAAAGAATATCGAGTTATGTGACAACTAAAAGGACGGCTTGCAGTGCGGTCTTCAGCTACAAAATGAGAGTTGTATATTCCCCGATTACCATAGCCTAGTCAGAAAGTCAAACTTGAGAGGAGGAACTTGATTTCTATTGATCACACATTTACAGCAGCGAGAAGCAAGCGCTGTTTGTGACGGTGCTGCTATATTGAGTTTCAAGATCAGCATCTCTAATAAGCATAATCTGATATTTTCCTAACTGGAATTTCTCGACATAGGGAAGCACGTCCGAGAAACGACTTATCTCGAGAGATATCAGCTCTCTTCATTCTGCTGCGCTCAGGCTGGGTTTCTCTGGCCTTGTTGGCCTCTGCATTGAATTGCTGTGTGGTAATCCCGTTTGTTTTTGCACGACATTTCCCTCTTTTTTTAACACACTTACAAAGATAAGCGAGACCACCAAATTGACTGAGTCACGAACACTCTTAAGGCATCAAGGTCAGGACAGAGGAGAGAAGAATGAGACGAAGAGACAAAGTGAGACACAGAGAGGGATGAAGTGAACGTCCAAAGGAAAGCGGGACCCCTCGGCTAGAAGCAAGTACGGTGTTGCGGGCACTGACCTTGTCATTTGCAATGTAGACTCAGTGGAGACTTAGCTGCTCACGTATCAGCCCGACGCTAGGTGGAAAACGACCCTCTTAGTAAGCTCCATGAGCATCTCTGCTGTTGGAATCGATCTGTGAGGCACATTCTATTGCCCAATCTGTACACATGATATCCGGAAGGGCCCTGGTCTTCTAAAGCTTACAAACTATATACGTCTCCTGTTTAGTTGGCCGCGTTGAAATGAAAGAGTGATTTATCAAATGACGATGCCTGTTGTTTCCTCTATAAAGCCATTTCCATGGCTTCTGATGAGGTCACGTTGTTCCGTCCTGCATCTACTCTAAACCAAGCTGTGGCTCGCTGAAGACTAATTTATAGTAGGCCGTTTACTGCGTTATGTGAGGATGCTCTAAGTGATCACTCGAACTTAAGGTTGCATAATTTTGCAGATTCGCACCCAAATTATAGATGAGTTAAGGTAAAGTAACTAAGAAAAACGGTTGACTTTAAGATACCGGTACTCAAGCGGGGAGAGGTATAATCAGTAAGCATTGCACATACCCAAGGCTATAACTTTGGGTGTGTGAATCCGCTTTGGTTGCACGCTCCGTCTTGGAGGGTAGTGGGACGATGACTGTCCTATACAAGTGCAAGATCAGAGGTTTGTGAACAGTAGAACGTAGGGTCTTAAGTTTTTGTTCAGTGAAGTAGATTATTCTTCCATTCTCACGGAAGAAGAAGAGGAAGACAGTGTTGGTGAAGTGAAGAATTCACTTTTGGAGTATGCCATCGAAAAGTTCTCAGTGATTCTGGATCTAGGATTGGACTGAATGATAATAAGTGTACTGCGTTCTCAATTTGTGAGGTGAGACTTCACATGGACATAGACGTGGACGGAGAGAAGGACGTCTCTTCCACATTGCATGGGTGACAACATAAAAAATAGAAGCAACACCATGCATAGCTCCACCGGCATGAGAACAACGTTGACTTCGAAGCAGCAATATCTTCACAAAGCAATCAGCGCCATAATGTAGAACCATGTAGTTAAAAGAAAAAAAGATACTCGATACTGACTGCATAGGTGTAACAGTCTACCTCAGTATAAATTGAATCACACGAGAAACCTACATTTAGTTTGAGTACAAGTCTTGAATATAAAATACCTCAGAAGTTTAAAAAAAACACGAATGTTAGACATACTTCACCAATGCCCGGGCATCACACCCGTCAGCCAGTCATTATACGCTCTGACCTCTTGCCAGAATGGAAGGAAAAGACGCAGAATGTTGTGAAGCACTGGCTTCCACGATTGAGCTCTAATAAAGGCCATAAAACAGGGTACGAGTAGGAACCTACAATGAAGTGAGTGTGGGAAGAAAGGATACTGCGTACAGAGCTCTGCTGGTTGGAGGTAGTAAGGATTGGGACCACAAAATACAACCATCTTACGAAGGCACGGCTGTTATAATAGGCTTGATTCCCTACCAGAGAGCTCTTCGTACCTGTATAAATATATAAGAGGAATCAGTCTCCGATAAGTATATATCAGAGACGTATTTCTCTTGATACCTGCCATAGAGCTGATTTGAAGGAATCTGCTCTTGAATGTACGCAATCATCATGAGAAACAGTTAATGTGGCCAAATTGTGACCAAAAAGACTCGTTCAAAAGACTACAACTGACGGGAACGTTTTGGTTCTAGTAGCATCCATAAAAAGAAGGAGAAATAAAATCTGTGAGACAGCTGCTTCTGGAGAAAAACGCAGAATAATGAGATTCTTCGTCTTTCTCCAAGATGATCAGACGAGGGGGATACACAGCAGGTGTCTTTGCAAGCTACTTATATCATGCTATATAGAACTGAACCAGTTTTGTCCGTTCGATTCAAGAAGCAGTTTTCTTCCGTTCGTTGGTTACAAGCTGTCCTGCAAGTTGAAAAAAAAGATGTAGAGCTCTGCTAAAGAGCTCAGGGACATCCCAACCAGCTACCAGCAGATTCATCAACTTTTGTGTATTTAAACTTGAATAACTACAAACTATAAATGACGAGAATGCAATGCAGAGGACAAATAGAAGGGAAATCTCTCGTATTATTATTACCAGCATGTCAAAACTTGCGTACATCGTCAAAACTAGTCTTCAACGTCGAGCTTCTAATCCTCTTTACCATATCAATGTTGCTTTCTTCGTCAGAACGTTGGAGTGAGTGCCACTGTCTACTCTACAAGAAAAATTACCTGATTTACAAATGTAGATTAAAAAAAGAAGGCGTTCACGGGTATATCTTAGCTACTTTTGTCCACATATTGCTCGACGTCAGACTTGAGTGCGCTCAATTGTCCTTCGGTGGTCACTTTAATTTTATCATCGTTGACGGTGATGAGTACCTTAGCTTGGAAGGCATTGGCATAAGCATTTGGGTTACAAAAGAACTCAAAGCTGACACCGTCATCTCCGTTTTGGCGATATTCCATGGTCTGCCATCTCTGCGGCCTTGTGGCCTTTTCCCTTTCCTTGAAGGTAATCAGAAGCTTGTCGATGGCATCGCTCAACCCCTTGGCTGCTTTAGCAGAAAATGGCAGAGTTAAGGATGTTTCTCCCACCTGAAAGGTTATAGGAGCTTTTGCTGCAGAACAACGAACCCACGAAAATGGTTAACTTTTGTGTCGGGTACTCATCAGCAACAGTGTTGACTCTTGTACTCTTCCACTACTCCTCGAAGAAGAAAATTCGCATCACATATAGAGTGACAGGTGATGAAAACTGCAAATTTCTTACCAGTCTGCGTAGTAACATCTGCAGAGCTCGCCCTCGCGCTGCCCCCTCCCCTTGTTGATAAGCGCAAGTTGTTGATATTTGCAGCAAGCGCCTGAGAGAAAAAGAAACTCGTTATGGAATAGAACAAAACCCTTGAAAGTTTCCGCTCCAGTCTCCAGTTCCTGAGAAAAATGTTTTCTCAATCCTCACTAAAAGCTCAACCATGTGCCGCCAGGACCAAGAATCGAATAAACTTGTGGCACCATGAACGCACAAACTAGTGAATGATGAATCAGATAAGCTCCGAGTCAATTCCAACTACTTCACGTTAGCAAATTCCTGGGCGAGCAAGCCCGTCCAGATTTATCATTCCACTGTTCTGGATTACGCCGAGAAACAAATGTACGCACCTTTGGAGGAAAATTTGACGGCCGAGACAACCCTCCAAATTGACTGCAAGAAGAAACGGAGGACGCGGTGGCAATTGATGTCTGTAGCGCAAGGGAGTACATTTTGCCTCCTGTCTTCTGCTTCTAGGCTCGAAAGAGAATTGCTGCTAATGATTTTCCTCGCTCGCCTTGGTGGATCGATCCTTCCTCCTGTCGAGCCTTACGTGTCATACGGCATGGATTACTAGGCACCACGAGCGCAGATTCTGGACGGGTTTATATCATACGTGGCATAGTGTCATTGGTGATCCACTCGAACCATGTTCCTGCTCGTTGCTTGAGCTGGATTTCTCAGTGTGAGTATGGATAAGGCAAATGGAACCTGTGCAAGAGTAACGAGCCCAGTGGGCACCACGAGGATGGCTACCCTGGAACGAACTTCCCGCGGCTGCTGTACTCAGAGCCGATGCCACGTAGGATTAGAATTTCGATCGCCAAGTTGGATATATTGAACAAGTTTATAGACTTAATACAATTATGTACATTAACATGTGGGAATTTATGTTAACCAAGCTTCATATGTAGGACAGGTTTCAGGAGGAAGTATTATCAGAAAATGGAGATATGGGCTGGGTGAGCAGACAATAAGCATCACTGATTGGTGACGAAGCACCACTGCCTTGGTGTTTTGCACTCAAGGTTTTGTCAAGTTAATAAATGTTTAATGTGATGAAGTTGATGGGCTGGTCAGCTGCACACCTCCAATCTGGTTGTGTATGCCTTTCGGTAAAGTAATTCAGTTTGATATCTACTTCTGAATATTTTCTCATTAGATACTGCGTTACAGAAGTTGCTAACTATCTTGTTGAGATGATTGCAGTTTATGTCTTTTCTTCATTATTCAGTTCATCCTGCTTAACAAAACATTCTGTTGGAATGCATTCTAAATGATTTCCTTTATGAGCACATGGATAGTTTTAATTAAATCATATTAGCAAAATAATTGGTAAAGTCATTATTTTTATTTTTTTTACTCTTTTAAGACCTGTTTCATGGATTGACAGATGCTCAGTTCTGAAATAGACCTCACGTGAGTAGCCCAAAATAGATAGTCTATACGAAGAATGCGAATTAATCATACTTAGGCTTTCCGTAGATAGAAACAGCCCCTATTTCTGAGAACTTAAACTTGAGGGGAAACGACTTCTACAAGCGCTCTTCCTCTTGCGGTCGTTATGTGGTCATGCTGTCACAGATATCCATGTTGTACTTTCGGTTCAAATCAAATCTTACTACAGACGGTCAAGTTCTGCGAACTATAATACTCCTCGCATGTAGCATACCATCGCCTCCATCTGAATCGCAATTATTGTTGATGATTTCAAACTTCCATCCATCATTCGTTACAAAACTCAGAAGTAAATGGAGACTACCTTTCACTCAATCTGGTTCTTGTGATGCGTTGGAGAAATGCTCTCCACATGTTAGTGTGAGTTACTAAATTTGGATATGTATTTCACTAAACCGGGGCTAAAATTTGGAACATTTAGATGGCATGTATAGAATAAAGACCACTTTTGCAGTATTACATAGTTATCTCAAACTAAGTACGCATCTACGTTGATCTTGGATGATTATGTTGTGAGTTGCAGACAGTATGTTCTATCGAAGAGATGGCAACATTTAAATAGCTGCTCATGGACACATGCTGAATGCAGTGATGCACTCAATCTAAAATGTATGGCTTGGATTAACAACAAGAACTAATCGAAGGTGAGCCCCTAATACTAAAGTTAGCCTCGCTGAGATTCTAACTGTGTCTTACAACACCCCCTTTCAAGGAGAACAACAACAAGAACTAATCGAAAGTATGAGTGTATAAGGTGAGCATACTAATACTAAAGTTAACCGCGTTGACATACTAATTGTGTCTTCCAACAACCCCTCTCAAAGGGAACATTAGCACTAAGATCTGTCGGAGATTTGTATACATAACTCAAGACATATCTAAAAATAGAGCGGGTTACAATAGATATTAGGTTGTAGCACTTGCTTGTACGTTAGCTAATGAACAAAACCCAATAGAATCTCTATGCTTTCCAAATTTATGGCGCAAATAGAGGCTTTGTGACAAGGTCCGCTGGATTGTCTTTTGAATGTATGTAATCAAGTCAAATTTCTCCCTCTAAAACTAGTTTTTTCACAAAGTGATGCTTGGCCTCAATCTGCTTTGTCTTAGCGTGAAAGATAGGGTTGTGAGCGAGTTTTACTGCATCTTGATTGTCACAAGACAAATGAAAATCAACTGAGATTGGAGTGTTGGTGTGCTTCAAGTTAGCTTGTATTTCAGAGTCCTGACATGCAATGGGAATTGAAGCTAAAGGATTGACTTGAAGTTCTGCCATCAATTGTCGCATGTAAACGCCTTCCTTAGTTGCCTCGTACAGATCCGAGTACTCAGCTTCTGTTGTATTGTTTGAGTCGGTAGGTTGCTACTTCGAGTACCAAGAGATGGGACCAGCAGCCAGCTTGAATAAGTAAGAACCAACTGATCGGCAAGTGTTGCGACAACTTAGGTAATCAACGTCTAAAAATGCGTGAAGAGAAGTTGAACTTTGGCGCTTGTAGAATATATCAAAGTCTCGGATGAAGTAGATATAACAAAAAATATGATGAACATATTTCCAGTGGGCTTCTTGAGATGAATGCATGTATGTAATGATCACATCAACTGCGTAAGATAGATCTGGCCTAGTATGGCATAAAAAAAATCAGTTTTCCTACGATATGACCGTAAGTCGAGACATCAACAGATGGAGTACTAATGTCAACTTCAAGGAAGTGACGTACTGGAAGAGTCACAAATTCAAGTATAGTAGAGTCAACTTTGCATTCCTTAAGGAGCTCTACAGTATATTGTTGTTGATAAAGAAACAAGTTTACTTTAGGTGTGCGATACAAATCATCACCAAGATAACGCGAGACGAGTCCAAGATCTTTCATCTTGTACCGATGGTGAAGTTAAGTTTTTATTTCGGCAATTCTGTCAGAACTTTTGCCAAGCAATAGCAAATCATCAACATACAATAAAAGCACTGTATTGGTGCTGCCCTCACATATGAAGTACATGTTGGGATCGAGTTGACTTTGATTCCAGCCAATAGATCTGATATGGTAGTCAATTTCTTCATAGCATTGTCTCAGGAACTGCTTTAGTTCATAAATTGATATGTTAAGAAGATAAACTAGGTCTTCCTTGCCTTTGACCTCAAAATCATGAGCTTGTTTCATGTAAATGAGCTCTTCAATTTTCCATAAAAAATGGAGTAATAACATACATATGTTGTTAATTCCATCCAAGTGCTACTGAGAGTGAGAGTGTAACCATCTTTAGTTAGTTAGAACAAAAGTAGAGGTACTCTAAATATTGCTGTAGATACTTTAGTGTGCACTAGTCATAGCTACCACGTCAGCGATCCGCGCACTTGGTAGGTACACAATGGATGTGTTAGTTGACAGTGCCACTTCAGCAATCCATGTGCTTGTAGATAAGGATTGAATGTGTTAGTTGGGTGCGCCACGTCAGCGATCCGTGTGCTTGTTAGGGTTATCCGCCACGTCATCCATCCACTAGGAGTGGGATGGATGATGGGAATTAGATCTTATCTCCTTGTACTTGTTGGTGAGAGCTATATAATGGAGAGTAGAACCAATATTGGTATCTCTCATCTTTAGAGTTTACGTTTCTATCTTCGAGTGAGCTTCTCTCTAAACCCTAGTGTTACAATGGTATTAGAGCGACCTTGCTCTTTCCTTGGATGTGGATTACCCATCATGGAATAGCAAGTGAGTGATGATGGAGTGTAGTCTTGAGAGTGTATAGAGGCTGGCAGAGGTCATTCATCTACATGTAGAGAGAGGTGGAAGGAGAAAATTGTGGTTTTGCAGATATGGACGAGATTGACAGGAATCCAGTACCGCACTGGCCAATTCCTAACCTATTCGATATTCACCTTTGTTGCATGAAGAAACATCATTTTTGGATGTACCTTGTGGCTTGTTGGGGTGCAGATTTTATGACTAGAGTGATGGAGTCGAGAGTGCCACTGATTCTTCCAATAGTTACTTATGGAGAGACTTGAGATTGTACTATATACATTCTATACTTAAGGTTTCATGGATTTGAATCGCAATCTAGAAATTTCATAGATTTCTTGGATGTGTTCAAACGAGGCTTGAAGGATCGAATTCGAAAGGAGTTGATGATAAGCAATCCATCTACTGTGAATGAAGCAATTGGAATTGCTCAACAAATTTTGGGTGCTTTTGGTGTCACACATGGTGAACCAGTGAGCAATTTTCAAAATCCATCTGGTCCAACACCGATGGAGTTGGAAAACCTTCGAGAGAAATATTGCATAAACAAGAGTACCACCACCAAGATTTGGAGGTGAGATTCGGCCACCAGGAGTTTCAAATTTGCAAGAAGGTTATGCAAATAACTGAATGGTTCGAGGAGTAGCTGGAGTTCGTGACAATCGTCAATGCTATGCATGTGGACGAATGGGTCACATAGCCAAGTTTTGTCGAGTTCGGCCGACACAACAAGGAGGACGGCCCATGCAGCGACGACCGTTCAACAATATGGAGGGGATAGAGTATGAAGAGGTGGAGTAAGTAATTTCGGGAGACGAAGATCACCAGTAATCTTGCCTCGCGGCCTTACTGACAAACTGAAGTGATAGACACACTACCACAGAGTGTAGAATTATCTATAGGTAGATATAATGAAAGCATTGAATGAAGAGTAATTCGTTTAGCTCGATATGGTGTCATCCTTGGAATGCCATGGATGGAGCAATATAATCCGAAGGTAGATTGGAGAAGAAAAGTGATTACAAGAAGTGGATGGAAGATCTATGGAGATAGAATTAGATCTCAAAATAGGAATTTACCCCTCTTTGTGATGGGTGCAGCATCCATTTCTAGAGATGATGTATGTTTCCTTTGATTTATAAGAGATTTAGGGTCCACGGACAAACCTTACATCACGGAGTCCTTGAACGACATTTTTATGTAGTATAAGGATGTTTTTGCAGATGATCTACCAGTAGGATTACCACCAAAGAGGCGAGTAGATCACAAGATTGAGTTGATACCTGGAAGTACACCAACTTGCAAAGCTCCATATCGTTTGGCTCCAAACGAATTGAAAGAATGCAAAGCTCAAGTGGAGAAGATGTTGAGCAAGGGATTCATTCAACCAAGTGTTTCACCTTATGGAGC